GGAGCTGTCATTCAAAAAACCTGTAGCAGATGCCGGAATCACAACACCAATATATCCCATTTTATATAAAAAAACCAAAGAGGGAATGCTCCTAATGTCCAAGCCAATATGAGTTTCAACCCCTCACCCTTATTCAAATTGATTTGTTATATACAACAAAATCAAAATAAAATAAAATACAAAATGGTACTACTGTGAGCACCAATTGGGAAGAGCATTGCATAACAGATAACATAATCAGAATTGGAAGGGACCTTATAGGTCATCTAGTCCAGTGGTCGCCAACCAGTGGGCCGCGGCCCACTGGTGGGCTGTGATAAAATTTTGGTGGGCCGCAGAGAAATCTCACCCCCAGAGCACCCCCCCAAAGCAATTAATCCAGGCTGCACAGAAACACAAGGCTGCTCAGCCCACATGGCCCGCGGGAACCCTCCCCGCCCACTCACTCCTTACCCAGCAAACTTGTCTGCTAAGTTGCTATTTTTCCTTTTTCCGACCATCATCTGTTCTGCTGTGCCGGGAGATATAGATTAGCTAGAAAGCAAGAAATGGTTGGATTTCTTGCTTTCTAGCTAAGCACAGCGGAAGCTCCCTTAGGACTGAAGGTTTGCTTGCAAGCAAATTCAGTGGAGACTCACAGCAAGCAAATTTGATAGACTGAGTTAGCCGATGGCAGATAGATAGATTTCTGAATAAATCTGTGATTCTGTGCCTGCCTGCTTTGCTTGATTTGGGGTAGAAGTTGCTCTTTTTTAAAATAAAAAATTCAATATTTACATGCATGGTGTGTTGTGAGTTAATTTTATGAGTTTGCTTGCAAACAAATTTTATGTGACAGACTGAGCTAGCCAATGGCAGATAGATAGATTTCTGAATGAATCAGTGATTCTGTGAGCAACTCAATCTGCCTGCCTGCTTTGCCTGCTTTTGGGTAAAAGTTGCTCTTTTTTATAAAAAATTCAATATTTATATAAATATTTATAATATTTACATACAAGCCATGCCCAGCCAGTCACATGACTACCAAGCCACACCCACAAATTAGGCCACACCCACAGAACCAGTTAGTGGTCCCTGGGATCTAAAATAATGAGTTTGGTGGTCCCTGAGGTCCAAAAGGTTGGCGATCCCTGATCTAGTCCAACCCCCTCACCCAAGCGGGAGACCCTACACCATTTCTGACAAATGGCAGTCCAATCTCTTCTTGAAGGTCTCAAGTGATGGGGCTCCCACAACTTCCGAGGGCAAGCTGTTCCATTGGTTGATTGTTCTCACTGTCAGAAAGTTTCTCCTTATTTCCAGGTAATTTCCCCAGAGAAAAAATACTCTGGCTTGTAGTGGCCCCTTGGTGGAAGGCTTCATTAGAAGATCTTAAGGTGCAGGTAAGTATATATGGGGAAAATTTCAGGTTATAATCTGAGAGATATCATGTATAGAGCATTAGGGAGAAATGTGGCATATCAAGCTAATAGACTTGAACCAAAGCATAGATACTGTGCCCCAGCTTTGCCTGTTATGCCCAGACAGTCTTTTACGGCATCAGTGGCAGTCAAAACCCTGCTAGCAATAAGATGTTATTAGGGATAGATGAAAACAGACACACACACACACATGCACACACACACACGTGTATATATGTATATTTATTAAGTTATAAAATGGAAGAGGAATAAGTTAAACAATAATAGCATGGGCAAAAAACTTTGATTATACTATAGAATTAGACAAATGGCAAAAACTTTGGGATAGGAACTACAAACTGACAATGACTACTGCGTACCAGGAAAATGTCTATGAAATATTTTACAGGTGGTATTTGCCACCGGCAAGACTAGCAAAAATGTTTAGCAATATGATCACCAAGTGTTGGAAGTATAATCAGACCCCAGGTATTTATTATCATATGTGGTGGACATTTATGAAAGCAAGAAAATATGGGACAAAAATACATACATGGTTGGAAAAGATGATAAAGTAGCATATAGATCTGAAACCAGAAATATTCTTATTAGGTATAATACCAGAAAGCTATGATAAAGGGACCACATACTTAATTTTACATGTATTGACAGCAGCGAGAATTGTATTTGCACAATATTGGAAAAATGAGAACATTCCATCAGATGAAGATACAATTTGAAAAATATTGGACTGTGCAGAGATGGATAGATTGACATTAAAAATAAAGGACAAAGAAGACACAGAATATGACTTAAGATGGAATATATTTTATGAGTGGTTAGAGATAAGAGGTAGTATTAGATGAAGAAAGATTATTGCTATGTATGAATTAAACTTAAAGATGGTTTGTAGCTATAAGTATGCCAATATAATCAACAGGATTATAAATAAGCTAACATAAAGATAAGTTTAGTTAAAATCATTATGTTATACCACTACTATTGCTATTAGCATAACTGTTACTATTTCTTTTTTTCTTCTCTTTTCTTTTGTAAATGATATGCCCCGCACTGTTTTCAAAATGTTTACATATGAATAAAAAAATTTAAAAAGACCCTCAGATTCAACACTATGTATTCAGATTCAACACTATGGAGTTGAGTTCCTGCTGTTCATAGATAGCAGGAAGTCCTATATCATTTTGGATAAATAGTATACCTATGGCAGCAGTGAGTGAACTACCACGTCTCCCTTAGTTACAGTAGGTTGGATAATCAAACAACTCCCCCCTATCTCCACACAGTCTAGTTCCCTGCTGAAGGGCACCTTCCTTGTGTTTTGCTACTTCCTCCATTCCATTTTACCATCATATGAATCTACCTCTTGTCAGTCCTTTGAGATAGACCAGATCCTGAAACAGGCCTTATGCAGTTGAGGATGAGAAAGGGAGGGAGGGAGCTTCTTTGAAACAGGAAGATCATGGGGTGAACTGGGTGGAAATCTCCTCACTGCTTCTAACAATCTTTCTTTGGTGTCTGTAACATATCAGCTAGGTTGAACATGAGCTTATAAAAGAGCATTAGATTCAGACATATTCTGATTGACAAGCCTGCTAGACAACTTGACAATGGGCTAAATCTGCCATAAGATTCAAAGCATCCACTTGCTCATTCCTACACGATCGCATATTATGGCGAGCAATTGGCAGGTGATGCTTGGTGGGATGGGAGATAAAGCCAGAAGTCCATTGGTCATCAGCTTATTTCTGAAGCAGAAAGCGGCGTGGCATTGGCCCAGTGCAATTTATACTGGTGTGCTTTTCTATTTAAGGATTAAAGAAAATCACATTAACACAGCTTCTACTTTATCGTACATTAGAGATTTCTTATTACATTTGTTCCTACTGATACCCTTTTAAGTTTGGTCTTGTATAAAAGCAAATTCAGACTTGATTGGCTCACTTGTCTTTGTTTTTGTTTTTAGTGAAGCAAAAAAATATGGATTAAAGCAGTGCTAATGTTCCCCTTCTCTCATGCTCAAATTGTCATTATTACCTTTATCTTTTATCACTGCACTGCATTATCCAAGATGACCTTTTGGCTTTGCATCTATGGTGATCCTTCCCACAACAGGGGACATTAAACATTTCTGAGGGCCTTGATACAGAACCTAATGCAAGGGACAACAGGAAACCAGGAAACAAAGTTTCTTTTAGTGTTAAGAGTTAG